ACATATGAATTTGTTTGATGTGATAGACAATTATCGGATGATAGTGGCGGTAGTATTGAACTAGAATCTAAAGAGGAAAAAGAAAATTTTTCGTATTTTGTTTTTTCGATAATAAAACTTTACTTGTATAATCATCCAGTAGACTTGAAATAACATCATCATCAACTAATTTCGTGTCAGTAGTTGTCTAAAAGAAATAAACAACTTTCTTTTTTTTTTTTCAAAAATTATCTTTTCTTCTTTTACCGGTTGAAATGTATTGTAATAATTGTTATCATCTATAAATGTTGGAAAAGTTGGAGCAGATATTGAATGATGCATAGACCATGGATGATTATTATTTGAAGTTTGTGATTGAGTTTGATTAGCAAGAAATCGTGCAACAGATTCAGGTGTCAAAGGAACGATCGAATGTTGCTGTTGCTGTAGTTGTTGTTGCTGCTGTTGTTGTTGTTGCAGTTGCTGTTGTTGATCATAAATTTTTTGTTTTAATTTTTCTTGTTCTTGCATAAGTATTCCTAAAAAGAAATAAAAAAGCTATTTGAATAAATTATTTACGTAAATTATTTTTTTACGTTTTTGCAGTTGCACAGATAAAATCGGATTGCATTTTGGAGGGATCTACAAATTAAATCAATTATTTTTTTTTCCGATAAAAATATGAAAATTATTTTACAGTTATTGTTGCTAGATTATCCATATTTTGAGTAAGATGTAATGATTGAAGTGAATAAGAATCGAACTGTTTTAAATTTTCTAATTGATTTTCTAATTCAACAAGTTTTTGCTGTTGTTGTTGATAAAGTTCTTGATCACTTAATGAAGATGTTGATACTAAAAAATTATCGTAGTAAGATTATATTAACAAGTAAAGTAATTAGAATTTTGGAAATAGTAAAGCGTCGATGGGAGAAGTAAATTCCGAATAAAGAAATATGTGACACAATTTCAATTATTTTTACAACTAATTTTATTTCGCAGGATATACCCACATTTTTCTATTGAAAAAATGATACTATACAATGCTTCTTTTTATACATTCTTAACATAATCGAGGAATTTAGCCATTTTTTTCTTCTATAAAAACTAGCGAAAATTGAATTCGAGAGGTTACATAGTTTATAATCATTTATTATTCAATAGGAATTAGATGCAGCAGCAATCAGAATAAGATTTTTCAAATCGATTAAAATGATCAGTAATAAATTTGATAAGATTCTTATTATACGCTATTCATTTCATTATTACAAAAGAGTTGTTATTTACATTGTTGTTTTATGTTCGCATAAGTAACTGTTAGTAAATGAAACAAACAATGTAAAATATAGGAAGTGGTACTATGAAAATA